ATATTGTGTCAGTACTAAAAAAATGGTAAATTAAGGGTGTGCATAGATTTTAGAAACCTAAACATAGCTATGCCCGAAGATGAATATCCAATACCTACGATAGATTCTTTAGTAGACTCGACTGCCGGACACGTAATATATTCCTTCATGGATGGGTATTCAGGATACAATCAAATTTACATAGCTGAGGAAGACATATACAAAACTGTCTTTAGATGCACTGGATCTTTAGGCTGTTTTGAATGGGTAGTTATACCTTTCGGTCTGAAAAATGCAGGAGTGACTTATCAAATGGCAATGAACTTGATTTTTCATGATATGATAGGCAAGTTTGTTGAGGTGTATGTAGATGATATAGTGGTCAAAATCTAAGCACGATCAAAAATTACTTTGGTGGGACCATGATTTACCATACGTGCATGCCATCTACAAAAACTAGGATCAGTTTTTGGCCAAGTGCGAATACCTTTATCGATGATTGGCTTCAAAAGCAAGGAGTTCAGAAAAGGAGTGTCTTCAATGCAAGGGAATAGTTGACCCACCGTCGCTCGTCCGATAGCTTCGGCATCATTGAATGATGGGCCTAGATAGAATTCATTGAAATCAGTATTGGATTGTGCAAGGAAATTTAAATTTATATATGATCTAGTAAGGAGATTTTGGAAGTCCTCAAAATTGAAAGAATCATCAGAATGAATTTGTGAAGTCGCCATTGGATGTAGAAACAAAAGTTGTGAAAGATTCTTGAGAAGCGTAATGAGGAAGCAAGACAATGAACAGTGACCTTTATAGAACGCACGATTTAAAGGCATGAAGGTAATTGCACGAGGAAGTGGCGTGTCTTTTGAGTTTATGGAGATTTATAACATTGAACCTTTTCAGATTATGGAAGGGTTACAATCAAACGGAAATCATGATTGACATTCTTGGGAATTTCACATATTACCGAAAAATACAAAGAAAGCATATGACAAAGATTAATAATTAGTATTAATTCTGTGATATTGGNATTAATTCTGCCATATTGAGGGGTAATTGTTGACATACAAAAAGTGTAGCCCAAATCGAGTAGCCCAAGAGATAAGATCCAGTTAGGAAGTTCAAGATGAATGTCAAAATATGACCATTAATGAATGCAGTGAAGACCCATAAACAAGGTGCCATCATCGCCCAAACTTGCAAGACGCCCAAGATCTGAACGAGTGGAATGTTTTAAAATAGCCCAAAGCGAAAGAGCATATTCTCGCCCAAACCTTCGAATCGCCCAAGATCTTAGCAAACATGAGCTAATATGGTTATCCAGAGCAGTAGTTATTGAAGAGGTTATTGAGCAACCTTATCACACCCCACAATCTTAGAATCACAGTTGTAGGAGGTTGAACAACGGGAGTAATGTCAACAGTTTAAAGAAGGTAGTTCCATGACAAGTCAGCCATTATGAACAAAGTGGGTAGTTATAGAGCAATCAAGGAGTTTTCAAGCGGTTTGTCATGAAAGAATTATCAATGAAGTATAAAAGGAAGAGAAAACATAGATAAATGACCCTGAATCAAACACTCTCAAATAGAGAATATGTAATTTTAATTTCTTAATTTAAATTTAAACACTTCTTTTAGTACTCGTGTGCTTGTGCCCCTCGGAGGCATTCTGTTTATTTCTACTTGTAAATCTTCACCAATAAAGCACTCATTTTTGGGACTTTATCTCAATAAGTCTGTTCCTTACACAATCGTCTGAATCTTTTTTAATTGTTAGCGATAACCCGCGTGAAACAATTACTAATGTTATTTGTATATCATTTTATATATATTCAGATTGATGATATGAATTATATTAATTGGCTTCATTTTCATTTCCTTCCTTTTTTTTTTCCTCTCTATCTCCTCCAAAATGTGATTTTACTCTATCCCTCCTTTATTTTTCTCTTTCCCCCTTTTTTCTCTTCCATATCATCAATATGTACGTCAATCCTTATACAATGATGTGTAAGTAGCATTACTCTTTATTTGCTGAGTGTACATCCAGGGTGTGACCCCGGATGAAGGTCCCCTTGCAAGAGGGGGGCCCGTGATGTTTTTATTTCGAGCGAACCGCCCTTGTGAGGCAACTGTCATCCGGAGTTCACCTCAAATGTACAACTAGCCAAACCCTTATTTATATCTATTTTTCTTTAACAAATTAAGAATCACGGTAAGGATGGATTGAACAACTTGATTCAATTGGAGAAAACTAAAGGATATTTGTTGCAGTTAGAAAGTACAATATCAATTATCAAGTAATAATTAAGCAACTGTTTGACAAATAAATAAATATGAATAATTGTGTGTTTTGTGCACATTCTCTAGGAGAGTGCATTTTTTTGTGATATGAGGAAAAATATGTGATTGAAAAGAGTAATGATATGTAGTTCCACTAGGGTTACAACTAGTGGTGGCAATCGAGTCGAGCGGCTTGTCGGCCTCGGCTGGGCCGCTCGACTCATACTATAATGGCCCACGAGTCGCTCGGGCTCGTCAAAAAACGAGCCCGAGCATGAGCCGAGTAGGCCGGCTCGTTTTTGACGAATAACTCGTCTAATTTTTTTTTTAATTTTTTAAAGAAGGATAGTTAAAAAAATTCAAAAAAGGCGAGCCCCAGCCGAGCAACTCGGCTCGGCTCGCTACAGTACGAGATCGTGGGCCGAGCCAAACTCTCCCACGAGCAACGAGCTGAGCAGAAGCTCGGCTCGTTTCATAACGAGCCACGAGCTCGAGTTGTGGGTAATGTGCCGGGCTCGTTCGAGCTCGTGGGCAATGAGCCGAGCCGGCTCGACTCGTTTGCCACCACTAGTTACAACCCCAATTTAGATGACGTTAATATGACATTAAATGATATGTGAAATTAAATAAATCATTTAATTTCATTTTCATTTAACCTGTCATTTAGAGTCACCTAGATTGGGGTTGTAATCTTAGTGACCACCACTAGTTACAACCCCAATTTAAATGACGTTAATATGACATTAAATGATATGTGAAATTAAATAAATAATTTCATTTCATTTTCATTTAACATGTCATTTAGAGTCACCTAGACTGGGATTGTAATCTTAGTGGGGGCTAAATAGCATTACTCGGTTGAAAAAGAAGGAAAAATTATTAATGTGATGGAAAATATTATTTTAATGAAGAATATGTGATTGAAATTGAGTAGAAAAATATGAATGAAAATGAGAATGTGACTCAAACAGAACCTAATTGTGAATTACTTTAAACTCGGGGTAGATTGCTTGCAAACAAACAAAAAGAATGCATAAATTTCAACAAGTAGACGAATAACATAAATTTGTCACCGATAAGGAAGTTTTCTAAAATCCCCGTGAATATGCCAGGTGGGCTTAATTTTCTAAACCCGTGAAGAAAGATGACCCCTCTAGACAAAACTATAAATGTAGGCATGGTTTTACTCTACAATAGAATTTGTGCAAATCATTGTCACTTGAGTTTCCGTGCAAAGACATGTGAATGTTTTAACTTTAATGTATTATAAGTCCAAAAGGATGAATTATTAAAGAATCTAACGAAAATCAAATCGAAGTATCACTCGAAAAAGATAAACACATCAATTCTACTTTAGTAGTTTTCAGCAATAGATGTCAATTGATGGGTTATTTAAGTTACAATGTGTGCCATTTTTGTGCCGTTCACAATTTTACAGTCGAATCAGCTAAGTCGGATTCCATTTTAACAGAGACGGGATATGTGTCGATAATTATAAACGTAAAAGCACTTAAAAGGAATTCAGAAATCAGGCTTTTCCAAATTCATTTTAACATTTAAAGAGGAGCACAACAGGTATCGTGGGGTAATCCATAGGCAAGAAAGAATGCAAAACCATGCATATGGCATTTTCACTCTAATTCTCACAATGGGAACTCAGTCATACACTCATGAATTTTGTGGCAGCTATAAGCTTCTCGTGAACCAGCTGGGACCCCAACTGTCCCTCCACCCATTTTCAACCAAAAAGTAAGTCCCTGTTTGGTAAATTTTAAAATCAAATTTTTAGCAGATTTTGATAATTGATAAAATACGAGATTGAAAAATTGTGGGTCCAATGAAATATGTGATTAAAATTAATTGATGACTTTAATTTTGATAAAATTCTAGATTTTAAGTTTTTTATCAAACATGGCTTAAATAATAAAGAAAAATTAGGCGTTGTTTAGAATAGCTTAAAATTTGTTAAAAAATTAAAGTCAAAATCAACAATTAATTTTAACACCACTCTTCATGGAAACCACAAAATTTATCAGCTTTTCACTCACGTATTTTATTAACTTTTATCAAATTTTACTAAAATTTTTATAAAAACTTTGTCAAACAATCCCTAGAACAAAGCAAAACGACCAACCAAATGAAGATAAAGCGAATTACCTTTTTGTGTCTTACCATTCTAAAGTAACATTTTCCTTTCTTACATTTATTTCCTAGTTTGCAGTTCACTTGTTTCTGCATGAATGACATTATGAGATTTAGGTAGGGGGTGGTTTTTAGTATTTGTGACAGGCAAAATTGCAATTGGTCCCTAAATTATTGTTCGACTATTCAAATTAGTCTACAACGTTTGAAAAGAGCAATTCATGTGACTCATGTGGAAACATAAATCGTTTCAAATTTCTAACGAAAACGAATGATACTACAACTGCAATAAAAGAATGAATAAAAACTTCCTTTTCTATAAAGTTGATGGACCAACTACTATTTGAATAGTAAGTCGGGGACCAACAATGCAATTTTCCCTTTATACTAGGGGTTGAGGGAGCCCATGGTTCTCTATCTTTTACAACCAGAAGAATACAAGAATATTAAAATTATACAACTCATACACAATCATGCATGCATATGAATAAGTTTCAGCATTCTTATAAAAAGGACAATTCTTATGCTTTATCTTCATAATTGAAACACAGTAGAATTTTACATACAGACTATATTGGTCTGCACTTTGCAGGTTTAATAATGTCTTGTATTTGGACTATAATCTTTCTTAGTTTCTTATTCCTTAACCTCTCAGAGGCTAAACATCAGAACAAGCTTCATTCTGCAGTTGTTGTCGGCACTGTCTACTGTGACACATGCTTCCACCAAGATTTCTCCAAGGCCAGCCACTTCATCTCAGGTTCGTCTCGTCTTTCTTCGTCTTCATTGTTATGTCGTCCCATATGCGTCACGTGACAGAAATTGTGTCGATGATACTAACAATTAAGTTGGTGAAAAGTTTGAGTCTAAGGGATAATGTCTGATTAAGAATTTCTCCTTTATAGGTGCATCTGTTGCTGTAGAATGTGAGGACACAGGTTCAAGGCCGGGTTTTCGACAGGAAGTGAAAACAAATGAACATGGAGAATTCAAGGTTAATTTACCTTTCTCAGTGAGCAAACATGTGAAGAAGATCAGGGGGTGCTCTGTGAAGTTAATCAGTAGTGGCGAGCCGTTTTGTGCGGTGGCAGCTACCGCAACTTCTTCTTCGTTACATCTCAAGTCAAGAAAGGAAGGGACACACATTTACTCAGCAGGGTTTTTCACATTCAAACCCTTGAAACAGCCAGAATTATGTGATCAAAAGCCAATAATTAAGAATTCAAAAGAATTGGATTCTGAAAAGTCCTTAATTTCAAATCCCAATGATCCCACATTTGCACCACCAATTCAAGATCCCCGGTCCGATCCACCGGCATTAGGCCAATTCTTGCCACCACTGCCGCAACTTCCACCCCTGCCGCCTCTGCCGGGGCTTCCCAACCTGCCGCCCCTTCCAGGAATGCCGAATTTTCCACCAGCAGTGCCCAAGAAGCAAACAACACTCAAGGACTCTACAAAAGCATCTGGGTTAGTAGATAAAAAAGTGACTGATGCTTTTATTTTCCCACCAATTCCGCTTAATCTACCGTCTCTACTTCCTCCCATTCCCTTGCTGCCACCACCATCTATACTTCCTCTTCCTCCTATCCCCTTGCTGCCTCCGCCTTCGATTCTTCCTCCAATTATCCCATCTCCGCCTCCTTCAATATTTCCTCCAATTCTCCCAACACCTTCGCCGCCATCTTTCAAGCTACCACCATTAATACCAGGTTTAACTCCATCTCCACCAACACCCTCACCGTCATTTCCATTTGTTCCTCTCCCTCCATTTCCCTTCCAGCCCACACCTGGCTTCCCACGACCTGGATTGCCACCGGCTGACGTTTCTTCTCCATCAAAGACGGCCTCTCCTTGATTATTCTGAATCAAAACCATATATGTATAATTATCTAATAAGGTCGCTCGCAATAAACTCAGTTGTTAATTTCTTTTCTTTTGACTTTTTATGATTTTGTGGTCAATGGTCATCCCAGTTTAGATTAACGTATAGTTCTATCGTTGATTACAATAGTATGTAAATTAACTACCCGTTGTTGATGAAGAAATAATAAGCCCTTGTTTGTTGTAGCTTAAAATCAGATTTTTAATAGATTTTGATAAAAGTTGATAGAATGTGTGATTGAAAAGTTGTGGATCTCATAAAATGTGTGGTTAAAATTAATTGTTGACTTTGACTTGAAATTAAAATCAAATTTTAATTAGAGACAAACATGGACAATGTATTCCTATCAGTTGGATATTTCTAATTCAGAAGTTTTTCAGATGAATTCTTATATTTTTTTTTTTTTGAAAAATATATTATTAGAAAATAAGAGAAAGTTTTAGATTTACTTATAATATTATTTTATAAAGAATGTGTGGTTGAAAAAAAAATAAAAAAGAGATACATTTTTTCAAAAATGGAGCCCAAACGGACTTGGATAAAAAATCAAATTTTTTAATAAATTTTGATAAAAGATAAAATACGTGGATCCATTGAATGAGGTTGAAAATGAGTTTGGAAACAAAAATTAGAAAATGGAGACGAAACATGAGTGAAATTAACACAATTGTGTTCATTCATTGTGGATTAACCAATTTTGTCATTTAAATAATAAATTAAAAACGATTGATGCTTATCTTTATCATGGAGTTAACTGTCCCAATAATCATTGAATTTATGTTTCTATTTTCGATTGCTCACTAAAGTTTTAGATATCGAGTTTTGACTACTAAATTTATCCAAATGTTAGATGTTATTCACCAACTGACATGTGTTACACAATTCTAATGGAATTAACCACATGATAGACAGAATGTACATGTGGCACCTTCATGCCACACATCAAATTGCCACGTAAGAAAAGACGTATTTGATTGCTCACCGTAATTTTCAAGACTTTTTTTCAAAAGACATCTTTCATCACTCGTTTTACTCTAAGGGAATTGAGTTTTGGCCACTGAACTTATATGTCTACCTATCATGAAAATTTAGGAACGAGTTTCAAGTATCGTTTTCATAAAATAAAATAATTCTGCAACATGTTACAAGCGAATGTTTCTAGACATTTTGCAATATATTTCAGTTTTGTTGTAATTATTTTCATATTTGATCTATAATCTATATTAGCAAAAAGAAAATATTGATGAGTCTGATGACTAATTTTAATAGAAATATGTATGTTGTTCACCCAAAGAATTCATAATCTACATTAACAACAAAAAATACACCAAAAACCATCCAAAATCATATATATTGTAAAATGTCTTGAAACATTCCCTTGTAACATATCGTAAAATTATTTTGTTGTATGAAATGACACTTGGAATAGCATTCCTAAATTTCTAGAACAGGTCGACATAAATTTCCAAATTTAGTGACAAAAAATCGACCACCTTAAAGTGTAGTGGACAATCAAAGATGTCTTTAAAAGTATAATGAGCAATTAAAAACGTTTTAAAAAGTACAGTGAGCAATTAAAGTCGTGTTTTAAAGTACAATGAATAATCAAATACGTCTTTTCTAAGTTTTCTTATATGACAATTTGGGGTACAACGTCAGGGCCGCCTATGCATTTTGTTTGCCATATCACCAATTTCGTTAGAATTATGTAATGGATGTCATGTCAGTGAATAATATCCAACATTTTTATAAGTTTAGTGGCCAAAACTCGACATTTAAAACTTTAGTGGACAGTCGAAGACATACATATATTCAGTGATTATTGAGATAATCAACTCCTTCATCATGCTAATTGAATGATTAGACAAATTTCTTTAAATTCATAATTAATACTAAAGACAAAATGAATATCTAATCCGGAATTGAATAATTAGATAAATTTCTTTAAATTCATAATTAATACTAAAGACAATATGAAAATCTAATCCGGTCGGCCACCATTTTTTTTTAGTATTAATTTTAATTTTTAACTGCATATTCGATACGACCCACAACTTTTCAACCACACATTTTATCCAACTTCTCTTAAAATCTGTTAAAAATTTGATTTTAATCTCTATGGCCAAATGTATAGTGAACAAAAGAGAGTTAAAAATTAAATTAAGGAGACATAGTTACTTATCATTTTTAAATTTATTGAACCCGACAAATTTTAAATGCAACTACACTAACATAATTTACGCGCTGGATAAGATTAATCTGTTTATATTCGGTTCTTATCAACTAGCAATTCTATTATTAATCAACAACTTACGGAAGATTAACTTTTACCACGCATGTTGAATAATGATTAGGTAAATTTCCTTGAATTTATAATTGATACTAAAGAAAGAAAATGTAAACTCAATAGTCGGAAGACTAATTTATTTTCATTTTCTCATAATTTTGTCTCCAATTTTCTATTGGCTTAAACAATTGCCACATAAAAATGACAACAAAAAGAATGGTGTGAGCTCTTGGAGGTCTTGGGTTCGAATCTCGGGGGACGTTTTTTGTAACGACCCGGGTGGATCTTACCCGACCCTTAACATAGACGTACTATCCGCTTTGGGGTGGATCTTACCCCTCACGGCTTTCTGGACGCGTCCCCCAAGATTCGAACCCAAGACTTCCAACTCATATGAGAGACTTAAATTGAATTCTGGTACAAATTGGACAATAATGGACACCCTTCTGTACCCCCTAATGTACAAGTACCATTTTCCCTGTGCTAAATACTATAACCCATAAAAGCACATTTAATCGATTGAGCAGAAAATTTGTGTCGTTCATGAGGGGGGCAAATGGACAAAGCAAATAAATCCAAAAAGTATGTAAATCCTGATAAATAGGATGATGACGATAATATGGAGATTCAAAGTGTAAAACTTGAGAAGGCAATCTATTGATCAAATAAACTGCAGTAGACTGTAGACAATACTTCAACCCAGAATTTCGAAGGAACGTGCGAATCAAGCAATAATGTAAGAACAACATCCAAGAGATGACAGTTCTTTCATTCCGCCAACTCATTATGTTGAGGAGTATAAGGACAGGACTGCTGAGACACAATTCCTTTCTGGTGTAAGAAGTCTTGAAACTCGTAGGACATGTATTTCCCACCAGAATCAGATCGCAAAAATTTAATTTTGGTAGAGAATTGGGTCTCAACATATGTCACAAAAGTCTTGAAAACTGAAAATGTCTGAGATTTGAACATGCCTCGTTTGTTTTCTAATACTGCATTTAATTAAGCAGCGCCTGCGAGATGATTTGAAGTCCAATCAAGAGCACTTGGTGTCTGTGCTTAACCCGTTAATGCTTTGTTACAAAATAAGGGAAAACAGAAGAGCATTGTTAAGATTGGAAGCCTTAGGTCTACTCCTTGAAACTGCAAGGCGCGCCTTCTGTATTGATGCGATGGAACCAGGCAACCAGCCGAGGGCATTCCCTTGATTGTAGAGTCTCTTACACTGGAAGCAATTGAGGGCGATATTATTAGCATCACGCCACGGGTTACAGTCTCTACTGAACATACAGGTAGCAGTGAACAGAGAAAATAGTTCTCATGTTCCTGGAACGTTTGTCTCATCCATCAGGACTTGAGAAGTCAAGTAAACAGCAGAGGAACACAGGGATGGTTGCCAGAATTTTAACTATTTAAGAAGTCAACTCGGGTTCATGAATATCAGAATATGCTAGTTAATATTTTTCCTATTTAATTCTGTTAGTCTGTGTCGAGTTCAATTACAAAGACACAAAGTTTATAGGTATCATTTTTTGTGGTGAACTTGTTTGTACCGGGATGACATGATGTCGCAGATGTCACATTTTTGTGGTTAACTAGTTTATCTATAAGTACTTTTAAGATTGAATATGATCAAGACCATTTTCGCCGTTTCATTAAGGCTCGAGACAATGAAAACGAGGGGAGGGTTGTCTTACGTTCTTAGTGTTCAACTTTCTTCAGAGTGGATCATATGTCGATCAACCAATGTCAAGATCGAGCATGACGTCTAGCTGAAAGATTAATCAGGTTCAGTATATTGAAATCTGTCAAAAAAAAAAAAAAAAAGAAAGAAAGAAATATATATAGTTTATATTTTAGTGATTTTTTTTATTAATTTCTGCACTAAAACGTAAAATCAAATGTAGCAGATTACAATGTGAATTCCAAAAATTACGCCTGATAAGGATGCGCCTATTCCGAATAATACATGTTCCATCTTGTCCTACTAACACGTGCAGTCACACAATTTGAAACTAGATACGAAAATATTTTTAATGATAAGAACGAACTCTCCAATTTCTTTTGAAATGTGTATCGGTTTTTTTTTCATTTATTGGTAATAGAAATGATTTGTCTGGATTCACGTATTCTACAAAACGGATAACGGCTATGCCAATTAGTAAAACAAATGACAAAAGAGTTGAATCATGCATCTAGACAGGGCCGGTCCTATGATCGGCGGGGCCTGAGGCGAAGTACAAAACGGATAACGGCTATGCCAATCAGTAAAACAAATGACGAAAGAGTTGAATCATGCATCTAGAAAGAGATGGGAACCCATGTCGAATGAGTTATAGAGTTGAGTATTGGGATTATCTTAAAATGTCAACTCCAGCGGCGAATCTAGCATCCAATGAGCTCAAGCGGTTGCTCGTGCTGAATCCGTCGGTATCGGCGAATCCAGCATCCAATGAGCTCAAGCGGTCGCTCGTGCTGAATCCGTCGGTATTAAATTTTTATTGTGTGTGTCAATGTACATATGTTTTTGTTCTATATACTTATAATTTCATTTGCTATCAAAAAATTCCAGTAGTTCAATTGGTCGGAGCACCCATTTATTAAGTGGAGGTTTTGAGTTCGATTCTTCACAAGATCAATCCTTAATGTTTTGGTTTAATATTTTTCTCCATTATAAAAATATTAGTTATTAGAAATAGTGCCAATAGAGAATTGAATCCGCGCACTCCTTTGAATTATTGGAAGCTTGACCGGCATTTGGTTGATAATCAAATTTATTTAAGAAAAATATATATGTTCATTTTAGCAAAGTAATTAATATATTATCTCTTTATTAATTTTTTTTTAACCAAAAACATTTTAATGACTCAATAGTTAAACCACTGACTCGATGATTCGATAATTTGTCCGGGTCAACGATTATCAAATATGATAATTATGTTTTGAAGAGTGAAAGAATAATGAAGCAGAAAATTAAATTGACTGTTGACATTTATTAAAACCCAAAAATTTACTTGTTTTAATCTTGTCATTAGAGACTATTTAATCGGCAAAAAATTTTAACAATTTGGATAAGCATTGACACCAATTTTTCTTCACACGTTCAATGACAAAATCTTTGTCATCTTTAAAATTATGAAATTGGCTTTTTTTTTGCTATACTAAGATTATTAACAAATCGAACCAAGAAGGTAAGTAATTTGACCAATTTTTCAAATTTGAAATTCTTACTCGATAAATATTATTAGACTGGTAAATAACGTACATCTACACTTGCAATTCGAACTACGATAAAAGTAATTTCAACTCACAGTATTGGTTTTCATTGTCACCATTAAGGGTTGTAGAGAGAATAACCAATGTTGTAATTCAAAAATAAGAAACAAAGTGAAACAAAGTGCGAGTATCTATGAATGAAAAAAGTCTCTTAAACGTTTGACACGTGACATCATCTTAACGGCTCACTTGTCAGACTCAAGTGTGCAATCCATAGTCGTTATGGGCATGTGGCACCCGAGCCTAAATATAGGCTAAAAACTAATATGACTAGGAGGCGATTGCTGCTGAGTTGTAAGATCATCAATCATTCATGCAGTGTACTATGTGACTTGGTAGAAGCCATCGTAGAACATGCCATTGGCCTTGGAATTGTACTGCAGCAAAAAGGTGATGCTCCCTTGGATAATTACATTCCAGATGAGGTGTCTAAAGGCAGGACCTAATCACCTTGATGGGTAAATGTGGAAAAGGCAATACCAAAGCAGAGTGTTGACCTTACATGGCCTTTTGCTTTACCTCACTTGGCTTGCTGCCACGTGGCTTGCCTCATAAGTCGAGAAGTAACATGTAGTATGTATTTCTCCACAAGATTATGACTCATTTAAGAACATCAATTAAAGAAGTGGTTGCTCGTTTGCATTTTAGATAAATAAAATTGTTAGCTAGAACTTTTAGACTTCGATAGTCCTCGTGGGTTCTATTTTAAAAATTAAGATTAACTCAAATCCTTATATATATTTTGCCTTTTCACGTCGTGCCTTGTGTAGCACTTCGGAATATATTAATATTATAAACCTCGCGTGAGTTGTAAATCGATCAAATTTGTCGTAAACTTTTTAGACTCTAATTTATCGAGTCATGGAGACTGGAGAGGTGTAGTCATTAGAGATGGCAACGGGGCGGGGTGGTGATTCCTACCCCGCCAACCCGTCGGGGCAGGGTTTTTTCGGCGCCGTCGGTCGGATCGGTTCGAGTTTTTTTGTCATCACTAAATTCTAAATGCTTGCAAGTTTGACCAAACAAAAATATAAAAAGAACTGTGATACAAACGAGAGATTCGTTGTTCATGGCGTCAACGGAGAGCTTACAATACAAGAATGACGGTTACCATCTGCACGAAAGATTGCATAATCATTCCCTTCATGACGTTAAAGATTATAATCTGTATATTTTATTTTCGTTTACTTGTAATTCATGTATAACTTTATGGGGGATTGGTTTTTCTCGTGCCTTTCTGTATTTAAAAGAAGCTGCCCCATTCACACCATTTCTGTTTCTTCTTTTTTCACAGAAAAGAAAACGAAAATGCAGAAATTTATGATGCTGATTCTGATTATGTTCTTCTTGTCTATTTCTTCAGTGAATTCTGATCCACCTGCAGTTCCTGCATTGTACGTTTTTGGCGATTCTTTGTTCGACAATGGAAATAATAATCTTTTACCAACTCTAGCCAAGGCTGATTTTTCTCCCTATGGTATGAATTTTGATGGAGGCGCCACCGGAAGATTTACCAATGGAAAAACTATTCCTGATTTAATTGGTAGTAATCTGGCCGTGCCTATTTTAATTTTTCATTATTATTAATTTGAATTAATATGTATTTTAAATGAAATTTGTTTATTTTTTTTGTAGCTGAGTTTCTTGGATTGCCATTTTCACCACCATATTTGAGTATAAGAGCATCACCAAAGTTGACAGGGTTAAATTTTGCGTCTGGATCCTGTGGCATTCTTCCTGAGACTGGAAATTTTTTGGTATTTTTTGGCATTTTCGAATTAATTATTTAATCGATCTTCTAAAGAAACTTTCATTATCGTATGATAACTTGCTGATTGTTTTGACATCTTCATATTGCGACAAACTTGCATTACGGGAAATGATCAACTCTTATATGATAACTCGTGATTATTTTGACGATACTCTTATTCTCGTTCTCGCTTCACTTTTTGGATACATAAAAGTTGCCTTGCCTATGTACATAGGATCCATTTGGCAGAGTTTCTGCTTTTGCTTCATGTACGTAGAAGCCTTTTTTGAGAAATTATCTTAGATCGACATCCTCTAAAAGCTCTTATAGACAGAAAAAATACTTCCATAAAGTTATAAAAACATGTTCAAAAACAGATTCTTAACAGTAGAAGTAACTTTTGACTTTGACAATTCAGAAATCATGCCAAATGGACCCTGGTTCAGTCCACGACTTGCGCAAATAATTGTACAATATGTTGATTTATATATGATCCAATTTTTCGGGTTGTTGCAGGGTAAATGCTTGAATTTTGCTGAGCAAATTGACTCGTTCAACAATACAAGTAAACAAGAATTGCCCAAGCACTACAAAACCTCGTCCGAGGTTTCAGATTATTTGTCAAAATCAATATTTGTGATTACTATCGGCAGCAATGACTACATCAACAACTATCTTGAACCAGGATTATATGACACAAGTAAACATTACGATCCTCAATCTTTCGCCAGACTTCTCGTTGGAAACTTATCCCTACAATTTCAGGTAATGTTTCCTTAACAAACATAAGATAGAGTGACAAACTGACAGTGATGCAAATAACGACTTTTATCTATTTGTTTTGAGTGCAGAGACTATACAAATTAGGAGCAAGAAAAATAATAATGTTTGAAATTGGACCCATTGGGTGCATCCCATCAGTTACAAGGCAATTTAATCACAGTGGACAATGCGTCGAGGATGTTAACCAGCTTGCAGTAATCTTTAACAACGAGCTAGCCACCATGCATAAGGATTTGACATCACCTTTGAAAGCCTCAGAAGTTATACTTGGCCAGGGTCACATGCTTGGCTATGATGCACAACGAGCTAGCCACCATGCTTAAGAATTTGACATCAACCTTGAAAGACTCAGAATTTATACTTGGTCAGAGTCACATGCTTGGCTATGATGCCGTAATAAATCCATCCAATTATGGTAACTAATTCTAATTCCGTCACACAGAAAACAGCGTTGACCACAATTAGATCGATGATTTTTGAAGTTATTATTTCAGGTTTAGAAGACTCGAGTAATCCATGCTGCATTACATGGGCTAATGGGACATCAGCCTGCATTCCAGGACTGCCGGCATGCCAGGACCCGGAAAAACACTATTTCTGGGATGGCTATCATTTGACAGAAACAGTATATAAGGTCATTGGCACTCGGTGTATCAATGGTACTGTTTGTGTTCCTAAAAACATAAAGGACCTCGTACAGATTTGAATGTTACATGAAAGTATCATACTTCGTAGCTTCATACTCGAATTGTACAAGAACAATGGCATAGGATAAATATTTTGAGGTATTAGCGTCGTATTGTCATTGCCTCGCGTGTAAAAAAGGGTTGAAGCTGCAAGTAGCAGCGGAATGACCACGGGGTACAATTTTTTTTGTGCTGGATTGATACATTGAAAAAAAAATTAAATTTCCATTTAGAAACAATTGTGACACGGGTGAAATTTGAAACTAAGTTGAAGTTTTTTTATTCAATTGAGGCAAATTAAAGGGGGTGTTCTCAACAGAGATTTTGATAGAATTTGATGGATTCTAATGAATTTTGTGAATCTGAATAGATTTTTCTAAAATTCATAAAAATCTCATTAAAAATGATAAAATTTCAAAAGAGTTTATTATATGTATTTTTAAACTTAAAATCTATCCGAATCTTTTAAAATCGTTCTATTAATGAAATTATTATAAATTCACGAGTCATTTAGAATACTTAGATGTTAAAAAGTTTCATTGAAGTTAATTAAAATCACAGTTGGGGACACCTAGATTTTAATGAATTTTATTAAAATTAATTAAAATCGCAATTAAGGAAACTGAATTTTAAACATCCCATAAAATTTAGTAATCCGAATATGATTTTAGTGAAATTTCAGTGCTCGTAAATGAAACTTACCTGTCACAAGTTTATGTTCACAAAGGTGCGCTAAAGTTGTTATATGAAATCTATTAGTAATCATCAACTTAACTGTCACATAAATCAAATTAAAATGCATTAGAAAACATAAAGATAGAATATATTCATACGATGAACGAGTAATATTATTCAACAGTACTAGTGTTAAACACCAGACTGACTTCAATGCATTGTCCATGATTCCTTTAATTGAACCTATCAAGTATGGCTACCTAAACTGGAGTTGAGATCTTCTGTTCAATTTGTTATTTATCCAATTAATTATTATTACATTATTTTAAATTAACATATTATTAATTTTAATTTCCAACTTTAACAACTATTTAACATTGTTAAATACTTTCTCTTTCTCAAAAAATGATGAGTCGATAATTATTTGGGTGGACAGCAAAAATTGAACAGCAGATTTCAACAACCTAAACTGGTGTCCTAACACGTCTGATAGTAATAGTATTATTCTTCCATGAAAACGCATAATAAAAAAATGGGCCTATTCGGAATAATCCATGTTCCAGCCAGGTAGTATCACGTTTTCCGTCCCACTAACTAGCACGGCAACAAGTTATTCCATAAAGTTGACATTCTGATATTTAGTTACATGCATCCACGTCTCATGCACCCTGCACTCTCTATTTATTTTCCCTATCTTTCCTTCAAAGAACTCGCTCTTCGCACGACCATGGAGAAATTAATTATTTCGATTATGATCTTCTTGTTGTGCATTTCTTCAGCGAATTCGGATTCTCCTGCTGCTCCTGCATTGTACGTTTTTGGAGATTCTTTATTCGATAGTGGGAATAATAATCTTTTACTAACTCTAGCCAAGGCGAACTATCCACCCTACGGTGTGAATTTTGACGGAGGAGCCACCGGAAGATTTACGGACGGGAAAACTATCCCTGATTTAATTGGTAGTAATTCATTCCACGCCTGTTTTAATTCTTTCATTATTATAAATATTTTTTATGTTGAATTAGTATATATTATGAAAGGAATTTGCTTATTTTTGTAGCTGAATTTCTTGGATTGCCATATTCGCTGCCATACTTTAGTTTAAGAGGATCACCGGAGTTGACAGGATTGAATTATGCATCTGCTGCCTGTGGCATTCTTCCTGAGACTGGAAAATCTAGTGTATGATAATCAACTAAATGGAAATTCTTGCTTTTATATATTTTCTTGAAAACAATTGTTAATTTTTTTTTCTTCCTTCAGGGAATATGCTTAAATTTCGATGAACAAATCAACTTGTTTAACCTTACCGTCGAATTGGAATTGTCCAAGCACTACAAAACCTCGTCCGAAGTTTCAGATTATTTGTCAAAATCATTGTTTGTTATTACTATTGGCAGCAATGACTACCTTAGCTATGCTGGACGACAGTTATTAAATGCAAAGCAACGTTACGATCCTCAATCTTTTGCCAAACTTCTTGTAGACAACTTATCCCTACAGTTTCAGGTAATTAATTAACAACCCTCTCCCCCCTCCATAAACCCCACCCACACCTAGTCATGTATGGAGCCATATCAGGATGAATGTGGAACAAAAATTACTTGGAAAATAAAAAAAATTCTTTAATTCAAGATTGTTAGTAGAAGTTCGCGTGTAAGTTATAATCAAGAAACTTAAATTAAGGAATTATATAAAATCAATAATCAGATCTTGATTCGGATCAGGATCTAAATCACAAACTTTCAACTTTAGATTTTAAGAACTCGATACTACCAACCTCCAAGTCTTTTATAGTATTCTTCAAAATCTAGATATGTGGTTCATTCAATACACTTCCAAGTGTATTGTGTCACATTTAGCTATTTATACAATAAGGATAAAATAGAAAATATACGAAGTGAATCATTTAAAACTACAATTTTTCAATACGAGGTGTGAACCCTTGTACATTTTCATGTGTTGGGCATGAGACCACGACACGACTCCTAAATACAGAATATACACCAGTCCCATCCAAAAACAACAAACATAAGAAAGAATCCTGTTCTTATGTATTGGCTGTTTATTTGTTTTGGGTGCAGAGACTATACAAAATAGGAGCAAGAAAGATAATAATGTTTGAAATTGGACCCATTGGGTGCATCCCATCAGTTACAAGGCAATTTAAACACAGTGGAAAATGCGTGGAGAAGATTAACCAGCTTGCAGTAATCTTTAACAGCCAGCTAGCCACCTTGCTTAAGAGTTTGACATCAACCCTGCAAGGCTCAGAATTTATACTTGGTCAGGCTCATTGGCTTGGTTATGATGCCATCGTAAATCCCTCTAATTATGGTAACTGATTCTATCTCTTTCTATGCATAATGATATGTGATACGCATCTCCAATCTCTCACATAAAAATGGTTTTTTTTTTTAATTCTTTATGATAGATGTAACGATCTAGATCTCGTGTCCAGTCCAAACTTTAACTCACACATATTGTCCACTTTGGGAGAATCTATGTCATTCTATCCTCGTGGATTCTATTGTGTCCCCCAAGATTTGAACTTAAGAATTAATATCAAGATTCAACTTAAATCTCTTATTATAATACAGAGATCTCGAGTTCGAATCTTGGAGAATGCGATAGAAATGCGTGATGAATAAAATGGAGAGACTTTTTCAAAACAAACAGTACGTATGAGTTAATGTATGGGGGATCGTTACACTATGAATATTCAGGCAACCTACACAAATATAGAATGGTGAGTACAAGTGACTAGTATGATTGAGCTCCCCAGCGCTTTCCTCGAGACCATTTTAGTCAACAATGACCATATTTTTATTTGTTATTTTAAGGTTTAGAAGACTCGAGTAATCCATGCTGCATTACATGGGCTAATGGGACATCAGCCTGCATTCCAATACTGCCAGCATGCCAGGACCCAGACAAACACTTCTTCTGGGATGGCTATCATCTAACACAAGCTGTGTATAAGGTCATTGGCAGTCGGTGTATCAATGGTACTGTTTGTGTTCCTAAAAACATAAAAGACCTCGTACAGATTTAAAGATTTCCAACAGAAAGAATAAATATGTACTTTTAGTATCTAGTACTAGCATTGGGAAAGGATTTCCCCCCGTGTACAGAAGCCGGCCACCAGAATATTGCCAGAACAGAGAGAAATGCGTGGGACCCACCATGTGATTAAAAAAATAAAAAATGCGCGGGACCCACCAAATGTGTGTATCCAGCATAGTTCATTGGGAAAAGAACGGTGTCACCGAGTTAATGATAAATGCGTTTTTACTAGCATTGTTTTAGTTTGAAAGAGTTTAAAGTGTTTATGCCTGTTCCGGATTTTGTAGGATAGAAAAAAAAAATGGTGTTCGAGAAGTTTATTGGTCAAGACAAAAGACTCATAGTAAATATTTCGCAATATTAATTTGATGCTGCAAGTATAATGCACATTGTGTTAAGCGATAAACCTCACATCGATTAAATATATAGATATTAACCAAGATATACAAGTCTATTATTTATAATTTGGTTTTAATTTATTGGCTCGTGATTGTGAATTGGTGGCTTTCGATGAGGCCTATCTGCACCCTTATAGTCACTGAGCATCGGGTTCCGTTGCCTCAAGAAAGGCACGCGAATCATCTCTTTCACCAGTCTTAAAAAAAGGCGAGGGTTGAATTGTTGGACCTAAGGGTTCTGCTTTTTGCAATGGTGGATTAAAGAATGTGTCGTCGAGCTTAAAGAATCGTCATGGCCAATAGAAAAAGCACTCGAAGGACTAACAAAAGTTAGTGCTAAAATTGGGTAGATTTCATACGTGGTCATTGAACTTTCAGCAAAATCGTAATAAAGTTACTAAGCTCGTGTTTGGTTTAAATAAAAATCATTTTTTTAGTATATTAGATAAAATTTGACAGAATGTGTACTTGAAAAGTTGTGGATTCCATGAAATACGTTATTAAAATTAATTGTTCAATTTGATTTAAATTTTAATTAAATTTTTTTGCTGAATTAAATATGTTATATTAAAGAAATAATCTAATGAACGCTTGTAATTATCTTATCCTAAGCACAATTAACATGACATATCAATTAATTGATAGATAATTTATATGAATCTCAAAATTTAAAGTAAATTTATTATCAGCCATACAATGCAACCCATTACCACGCAGTATAAGATCCATAACCTATCATTACAATTTTTTTTATTACGTCACAGCCGTGGTGTAACATACAGAGTAAAAATTCTTTTATTGAAATTTAAATATATTATGAAAAAATTAATAAAATATAATGTTACAATGTCTATTATATTTGAAAATACAATTGTCAAAAAATAAGTTAAATATATGAGACGATAATTTAGATTATTTTCAAAAAAAATATTTTGTTCAATTTAAATGGTAATTGACAATTATTATCAAAACAAATAAAAAACCCACAAATGATCGAATCAAGTTGATTCATTTTAAAATTCACAACAATCACATAACGAAAAAGAATTAGCATATCTATCTCTTTTAAGGAAAAATCATAATTTACACTACAGTGAGTCAAAGACAATCAATTTGATGTTAATTGGGCTTTTTTTTTTTCCAAAAAAGAGTTTGACTCTTTATTCAAAACAAACCCTCACTTAGGACGGAGGAAACCCGTAGTAACAAACCATCAACCAATGAAAATTATCAAATAAACTAAATGCCTATCAATATAAACAAACAACGCAAAATGGTCTATCTTTTCTTACAAAGGTACAACACTCCCATTTTATCTAAATGAATCAACTCCCGACAAAGAAATGGCAGTTCCATACAAGAGAAGAACCGTTTTGTATTCCCCATCGCACCTACCTTCGCCAACTCGTCTGCAACCTGGTTAGCTTCTCTATACTGATGAATAACGTATAAATCAAACTTCTTTAAAAGCTCAATGAGAACTTCCCAAAAATCCCACAAGTGCCATAGCGTACATTTTCTTGCCAAAATCCAAGACACCACTAGCAAAGAATCACATTCAATATCCACCTGATATAAACCCAAATCCCGACACAAGGTCAGTCCATTTAATTAGTTACTTACTTTTCATTTAATTAAATATTAATGTCCATTTAAAATTACTATAGTGTATTTTCATAAATACTCAACAATTACACATCAAATTTAAATAACTAATATTTAATAATTATATTTTTATGTAATTAACATATAGATGGAATAAGAAATTAAGGATGAAATTGAATATCTGAGCAACATTGTAGACAAACTTGTGAATAGCCTAATTTAACTTGTTTATATTCATATATTTTCTCTCCCTAGTCCTTACATCGATGATGGGGTTCATTCTTGCACCCGAGCGTATTGTGTTACTATCATATTTTTTATGTATAAATCTCAACTTTTCAAAACTCTCTCTTATATTCAAAATTTGTATTACCTTTATCAGTCCATATTTTATTTTCAAATGAATAGATGTTATAATGTTTTGTCTTGATTAGTATAATTATGGTTGATTTACTCATAAATAGAAGAAAAGGAAAGAGTATTCGTTATTAAAATGTGTATATAGAAAATAGTTTCTTTCTCCTAAATTTATCCTTATAATATAGAAAGTTAGTTACATCCCTTGTAAAAAATGGACGACAACATCAATTATTGAATATATGTTATGACTTTTGTTGTGGGGCATGTGACTCCTTCTACCACGTGATCATATGTCACCATTGTGATTTTGAATGAACCGTTTAACAAAAAATAATTGTGACTCTGATTACTGCTATCTCATTGAATTGTAACAACTTCGTATAATGATTGTTTATGTAGAAGTAAATGGTTGTCAAATGTGACCATTGTGATGACGAAATGTTTAACAACATACAATTATGACTTGCATGAGTCGTATCACTATGCCCATATTTGAGCTTTATTTTAATTTTAATGCATTTTTTTCTTTTGTTCAATTACACATTCTTCAAAAAAATTATTTTTCCAAAATACATTTTCCCCTAAAATCTAATTAAATGGAGCCCAAACAAGGGCTATATTGCATAGTTGTGACCATGAATTTGTGGCCATCCAATTTTGTTAATAGAAAGATAATAGTGATTTTTTCTTAATATAAATCAAATGAATGATTGACTCTCCCTCTATATCGCGATTAGAAAAAATAACATATAGTTTAAATTACTATAATTTTGAAAATAGGATTAAAAAAATGTCAAAAAAAATTATAAACGAAATTTTAAATTTTTTTTCAATTAATTAAAATCCTAAACATTGAATATAAGGAATGCATTTTTTTTTTTAACCCATCCCCATATATGCTATGTACTGTTTGTATTTATATTTAAATAGGTTGAAATTCAAGTTACATTTGCTTATAAATAAATTATATTATTAATATACATTATACTTATGATTGGGTGTGTCTGTTGGAGAAAAAATTGTTAACTTCCAACTGACACGACTCTTTAACACATACACGAAAATCAGAATTCTCTTTCATGGGTATTGTCCCCTAGGCCCCACGAGGAGCGATGCCCTCTCGACCCCCGCGACTTGACTGGGCAGATCAATCCCCTTTTCGAAGTGACAAACCATTTGCAAATAGCAATAAACAAATAAATAAATCATGAAAAAATATATTCTCTTCAAACTAATGGTTTTTTGCTACAATTGAAATTGCTAAAGAGAAACATTTTGCTAAATCCATGTTACAACTTGTCTGTAATATCAAATAAATAAAATTCATTCTTCATCTACTTTAATCTAAACATAAAAAAAGGAACTTGGTGTTACTAAGTCTCACCAAAGCCATATTTTTTTCGAAATAAAAAGCTTGACTTTTTTCTTTCAGAACAACAGAAACATTTACTTTCTTTAAAAAAATTCCGTGCCCTACAATATTTACTATCAATACTTGTTGGTAATACATATGAAGTACTTTGTACATTTAATAGGTTCAAACTTTCTTCTAATTCAGAATTGAGACCATCAATTGTTCTTTGGTTTGACGTTGAAACTTCAGAATCATGATGTATGGTAGATTCATGCATTTCAATAAGACGTAAGCTATTCTCCCCGTATGATATAAGTACTATTCCTTCTTTGAAAATCATTGCACTCAATTACCAATCGATTGTACCGATCCCTTTCTCTTTGATTATGTTGTTGACGAATACGTTGGTAGTTTGAAAGGTAACTTGAAGGTTAGCTAAATCAATATCTCCATCACCAAATAGTACAAAAATATCCATCAAAACAATAACAATTTTTGTAAAATTGTTGAACCTCAATTGTAGCTGTAGAAAGTAAAAGTATTAGAAAGAAATAACCTTACATATATTAAAACATACATACAATAAAACTAAAGTTTACAATATCAAAATTTGTGAACAATGACTAAAAATATACTTGAAAAGGAAAAAAAATAGTGTTCATAAACAGCACAAAGAAAGCTCAAGAACCGTTACTTATTACAAATTTTACAAATTACTATAAATAAATAACCAAAATAAACTTACTACATAAACCTATAAACAAAAACCTGGATAGTTCAATTGGAGGAACTTAGGACATACAGGAAAACCGAGAAAGAAGGCTGAAAGGAAGTTGAATGAAGGAGAATGTGTGAATGAAAAGAGAGAAGCAAAATGCCCTTTACATTCTGCTATTGTTGCTTCTTTGTGAAACAAGAAAATACCTCTTAAGTAGTATAGAAATTGGACACCGGTAATATTTGCTTTCAAGGTGCAGAAGAAAGAAAAAGAGGATAAACTTGAAGGGGGTAGCTAGCTCCGTGTGATCTTCGATTTCCTTCTCTCTCTCGTCTTCTCTCGTTTTTGTCTTTTGCTCTTGCTTTGCTTTTGCTTCTTTCACCACAAGATAGCACATAAGTCAAATTTTAGACAAATAATTTGTGCAAGTCAACAATAGAAGCAATAAAGCAGTCACATTAATTTCATTTGTCTGCATGACCAGTAAAAATAATTAAGCCTCTTTTGAGTAAATAGGGTAAAACTAGTTCAACTACAGTATGGAACCCATTTAG